AAGAGCAAGTGAGTTTTTTGGGACATGTGGTTTCCAAAAAGGGTGTTCAGTGTGATCCTTCAAAAACTGATGCTGTAAAAAACTGACCCAGACCTGAAAACAAATCAGAAGTGAAAAGTTTCTTGGGATTAATTGGGTATTATAGACGTTTTGTTCCCGACTACTCTCTTAAAGCTTATCCCTTGAATGTTCTCACTCGTGCTAAATCAAAGTTTAAGTGGGATGAAAGATGTGAGGATATGCTTTCAATATTCTTAAAAATTGTCTTATAAGTGCACCTATTCTTGCTTTTCCGACTGAAACTGAAACTTTCGTGTTAGACACTGATGCAAGTAGAGAAAGTATAGGAGCTGTACTTAGTCAAATTCAGAATGGGGAAGAGAGTACCGTATTTAAGCCTATGCAAGTAAAACACTTAACAAAGCACAACAGAATTATTGCACCACACAAAGGGAGCTTTTAGCTGTAGTTTGTTTTGTTCGGTTGTTTCGTCATTATTTGATAGGCAGGAAATTTCTATTAAGAACAGACCACACCCCTTTGATTTGGATAAAAATCAAACTTCAAAGATCCCGAGGGGATGTATGCTAGATGGATTACTATCTTGGAGAATTTTGATTTTGAGTTACAGTACAGGGCATGTTATAAGCATAGAAACGCTGACGGGTTAAGTAGGATTCCAAACAGACAATCTAAAAACCCCAATTGTCCTGAATGTGTACAAAAACTGTCATCAGATCAAATAACTTCCAATAAAATCAATGAAGTTCAAAATGTTCAAGTTTCAAACAGTAAAAATCAAGTTTTTGACAATGAGCATGTAAATACTAATAACAACAATATCAGATACTAGTGTACCAGAAATAAGGGAGAGAGAAAATCCGAATTGGTTAGATGTTTGGAGTAATGGGGAAATTTTAGAAATGCAATTAAACGATCCAGGGATAAAACAAATCTTATTGTGGAAACAAGATGGGAGAACAGTACCCCCTGAGAATGAAATAAGTACTCTCAATGATGAGGCTAAGTCACTTTGTGCAATGTGCAAAATGCTCAGTATATCAGATAATCTGCTCTATCTAAAGGGAGATAACTCTTTGGGTATCCAAATTTCAAGACTTGTCGCGCCCCAAGAAATTAGAAATGTGTTATTCCAACATTTACACACCAACAGAACTGGGGGACATTTAGGTAGAGATAAGATGATTAAAGCGGTAAAACAGCGATTCTATTGGCCTAAACAAAATGATGATGTTAGACGATGGTGTGAACATTGTGATGGGTGTGTCCGGGGAAAACCTGGCCCTGGTTTGGGGAAATCTCCATTAAAGCAATTTCATGCTAGTGCCCCTATGCAAATTGTAGCAGTAGACATAGTCGGCCCATTGCCTATTACAGACAAAAATAATGAATACATAATTGTCTTTGGGGATTACTATACTAAGTGGAAGGAAGCATTTGCTGTAGTACCTAATCACTCTGCGGTAACAGTAGCCGACAAACTGGTCACTGAAGTATTTTGTAGATTTGGCTGCCCAGAACAAATTCATACTGACCAGGGGAGGGAATTCGAGTCTGAACTGTTTAGTTGTATTTCTGACCTCCTTGGTATTCATAAAACTCGAACGACCCCATACAGACCCCAGTCAGATGGGCTCGTCGAACGATTTAATCGTACCCTCATTCAGATGCTTTCAATTTGTGTTGATGAAAATTTCCATAGCTGGGATGAACATTTGCCATATTTGTTAATGGCTTATAGATCTACAGAACATAATAGCACCAAGTGTACGCCAAACCTCCTTATGCTTGGTAGGGATATTAATTAACTGCCCTCTTGACTTAATGGTTGGGTTACCCCCAGATCAAAGACAAGTTAGATGTTCAGTTCAATATGTTGAATGGGTACAGTCAGTTATAAATAAATCATTTGAGCTGGCTCATAGTCAGTTGGGAAAAGCAGCAAATAGACAAAAGAAGGGGGTATTCAATATTTTTGAGATTTTTTTTCTTCTTCTAATTTTATAGTCAAATGTATAACATTTGTCTTTTAGGGGGGAGGAATGTGACAGATTAGGTTTACTTACGTTTTCATAATTATTTCATTTCAATCCCGATGTAAATTGTCCACGTTTTATTTGGAAAGGCCCACTTTTATCTTTCGGCCAATAAGGTTTTTGACAGTTTCTTTTGTTCCTTTTTCATATATAAAGCTATGTAACTATTAGATTGGGGAGGGAGACAGCTGGCTTCGCTAGCTAAACTCTTCATATACTGGAATCGTCCCTTGTTCGTCTGTCTTAATTAATTATTACTACTTAGGTTAGACTATATTTGGGTTAAGTTAGGCCATATTTGGGTTGGGGAAATAAGGTCTTCATATTGTGTACTATTATAACGTACTGTAAGATTGGTAATAAATTGTAAAGTCTTGTTAATCTTATTTTCTTTTATAGTTCATTACAATTTACAAATATTTCCAATGTATAATCTAATGTAGAGGTCTTATATTCAGAAAGTCGTCTCAAAAAAAAAAAAAATAAACACAACGCGAAGTACAGGCTATATGAACACCAGACCTGCTACAATATATAGAGACAATTTTTTTTTTTTTCATTTTTGGCAATTTGTTTTAGGCCTACAGTATTAAAATTGGACTCATGTACTAGGAATATCATTTCTTTAGCAGAACTATCCCACTGAATTAAAAGGAACTCTTTTTTTTTCAGGTGCGCATGATGCAACTTCCTGGATGGTGTGTAGGCTGTTTGTCAACATGTGAATCCCACATGCATTTCGGGTAGGTAAGTTTATACTGTCGATTTTCTTCCTTAAAAGCCGCATTATAAGGCATATTTTTTCTGATCTCAAATTTTTGTTTAAGCATTAATATTTATTTTCTCTTTCATGAATTTTCTGCGGAGAGTCTAATAAATTAAATAATTTAATTCAAGCTATATAGTGAAATTATTTCCTTGTGTGAGACCTAAAGAGGGACAGGTAACTCTCATTTTCACTAAAATTTCTCTGATTTCAGGAGTTGTCTCCCCTTGAAAAGATCAATAATGGCGGATAAACAGTGCGGCATGCAGTCTGGTCACCAACGGACAGTTTTGACACACGTATACCTGGATTTCTACCAATTACCTCTGTAACCTTTGTTGTGTTCATCACACAGGTAAGAAAAACAAGACTTTTAATTCAAAAAATTTTAATGAGCTAAATAATAAAGAATATAACATTTTTACATGTACAGACTCTCTCGTATAAGAAAATGTCACATTTTACATATACAATAATACATTATTCACATGTCCACATTTTCCCCATTTACACAGTTGAAAATAATCAATGCATAATGAACCATAAAAACAATTATTACATGTATTAAAGATAGTTCACAAAATATATTTTTAAATACAAATTTTATACATTTGAAATGCATGTACATATCATCAATGCCCCCCCCCCCTTCACAGTCTTACAATTTCCTCTTTAATTTTGGATCTGTCAATGATTTACTGTAAGTGTCTTTAGATTTTTTATCATACAGCTGATATCTTTTAGATCTGTGATTTTTCTTTGAAATTTATATTTTAACAGTTTTTGTTTTATTTTAAAGTAATTTTGTCTATTTTGTTGTTGTTTTAGATGATGGACCACTCTACTTCCTTTTAAAACAGGTGCCCCAACAGATTCACAAAGTTCCAGTGTTGAGTTTCTATGACCCCTATTTAGTGAGTGCACAACTTTATGTATTCTACTTTCAAAATTCCTACTACTTGTAATACATTTTGGATTTGATTTTAAATATGCCCTATTTACAGATTCAGATTTTTGTGTACAAGTATGATATTTCATTCTATCAAGATTACTTTGTACTAAAGTCAAATTTATACAGTCTTTTAACAAACATTTGTCTTTTTCTGTCATGTTTAATTCAAAGTCACTAGGCAACACTGAAGATTTCCACTTATTGCTTTTCAGTCCACGACAGGAAAAGGAGTAGAGTTGACAGGACTTCCCGCACTGTCCCTGGTAGCAGTTTATGAGGGAACCAACCACAGTAGACATAGCACGCTTTATCAAAGGTAAGTCGCCGGAGTAGTGTTTGTAGCAATTCTCGTACTCTGTCCTGCATCGAAGCTTCAAGTCCAAGGCAAATCTTCGCTGAATGGATTCTCTTATGGCCTTGGTTCTTCCCGGAAACATTTGACTACTGAATGGAGCCTTAGCAGTCTGTTTTCTTTGAGAGTCAAAGAAGTGACGCAGGTCCTTAAGGTTTTCAATCACATGTCCTTGTTTTTCAGATGCACCAGATGCAGCGGCACTGTCTCCATCACTGGTGAAATGGGATATTACCAGTGGCCGGTCATCACTCTGTAAATCACCAACACAATTAGCGGCCCATCTCTTCTCGTCTCCAATGGTGGTCTCCGGAGGTATGGTTGCAGTGCAGTCTTCGTGTCCTGGGCAGGTAACCTCTTTTCCTTTGCTTCGTAGGTGTGCGCCTTTCTTACATAGTTTATTCCCACAGAAAACTGCTACCACATTCTTCCTCTGAGTTGCATTTTCACTTACGGTATACGTCACTTGGGTGGCAGCTTGGAATGGGGTTTTCTCAATGGCACTGAAGGTGGCATTATTGTACCGAGAATCTCCTTCCGCTCTGATGGGGGTATCCGGAAGTCCACATTTTTCATTAAGTTCTTGAATATTCTGCCGAATTTTCTTCATACTGTTTTTATTTACATCGGTTATAATTTTCCCCACTTTGTTGCAGGTCTGTTGCATGTTGGCGGCTGACGCTGGTTCAATATTTGCACCAAGAAGCATACCACGCATACCCTCTGTTGTAAGACTGATACCAAGGTGACCGACAGCCATGGCCACATTCAGCTGTGCAGCTCTTCGTCCCCTTCCAGATCTTCTCACCTCTTCGTAAAGCTTTTCTCAGTGACTGGTATAGTGGCACTTCTTACATCGAATGGAAAGGATCCATGCCAGGCCTCGTTTTTCCTCCCCATGCTGATTCCAGTCCAGTGGACCATCACAGTCAGGAAACTTCTGTAAGTGTTCTTTGAATGCATTGTTCCACAATTTAGCAGTCTTTTCTTGGTGAAGTACCTTGTATAATTTTTATTTAGTTGCATTGACACAGATTCACAGTAGGTCAGTCCTCTTTTTTTTGTCAGCGCAACTCCTCTAAACCGCTGAATTTCGTCAAACTTTCAGGTATTTAGGACACAATGTGTAGATGTGCATATTACCAGGAAATTCCATCTCCATTAAATTTTGAATTTCCGCACTTTTTAACTTAGACATTTGGCCATACCTTGAATATACAGATGAACAGTTTGTCAGCACAACTCCTCATTAACCGCTGCACAGAATTTCGTCAAACTTTGCAGGTATTTAGAACACAATGTGTAGATGTGCATATTTTCAGGAAATTCCGATTCCATTATTTTTTCCAAGAATTTCCGCACTTATTAACTTAGACATTTGGCCATACCTTGAAAATACAGATGAACAGTTTGTCAGCGCAACTCCTCATAAACCGCTGCACAGAATTTTGTCAAACTTTGCAGGTATTTGGACACAATGTGTAGATGTGCATATTACCAGTTAACAAATTTCGATTCCATTATTTTTTCCGAGAATTTCCGCACTTTTTATACTGTAGACATTTGGCCATCTTGAATATGAGATGAACAGTTTGTGCACAACTCCTTAAACCGCTGCACAGAATTGTCAAACTTTGCAGTGTTATTTACACAATGTGTAGATGTGCATATTGGATTTCATTAAGAGAAATTTCACACTTTTTTTAGACTTTGGCCATACCTTGAATATAGAGATGAACAGTTTGTCAGCACAACTCTTCATAAACCGCTTATCTTCGTCAAACTTTGCAGGTATTTAGGACACAATGTGTTGATGTGCATATTACCAGGAAATTTCGATTTCATTATTTTTTCCGGGAATTTTTCCGTCTCTTTTTAACTTAGACTTTTTGGCCTATTTTGAATATAGAGATGAACAGTTTGTCAGCAAACTCCTGTTAACTGTTGTTTTTTGTCAACCTATGCAGTCAAATTAATGTTGGATTTGCAATGCCAAGAAATTTTGATTCAATTATTTATCTAGAAATTTCATTCCACATTTAAATGTCGTAATGTGCAAGACATTTTGATGTGAAGATTTTTGGGGGAGCGTGGGGTATGTGAGCTAGCTCACTTTTTCTTTCATGAATTTGGGTCATCTGACACAGATTCCATGTAGGTGTCCACTGGCTGGACCTCACTTGGCCCGGGTCGTTAAAACTTCATCTCGCTGCTTCGGCTCTTGGCATCTATAACTGCAAACACCCCATTTTTCTGTGGCCGTACAATGTCCTGAAATTCTTCTTTACTTAGTCTTTTTATGGGAACCAGAGATTGGACTGGGCTAGTGGTCCCTATTTTCTTCTGGCCTTTGTTGTGAGGAATACTTCCTTTTTAGCCGGGCTCATTTCTCGTAGAGAAATGCCCGGCTATTGCGATGGTGAGCAACAGAAAATGCTGCTTCTTCACCGTCAAATAAATTTACGAGTTATGTAGTACTGTTAATCACCTTTGAAGCAAAACAAACACTGAATTATTTTATAGTTATCTGAAATTGTTAAAAAATAATTATAATAAAATACTTTAAGGCATATTTTTTCGATGATTAATCATTTGTTAAATTATTTATTTTCTCTTTTTTTTCATCAGGTATTTCTGCGTCATATTCTATAAATTAAATGTACTATCAGGCTTATACAAATGCGGGGAACATCCATTAATGACTTGATGTTTTTTTGATGCAAAACTCACCAGCTCCACCCATCTGTGCATAATTGTTTGACCTTAAAAATCTTGCTGCATCAGTGTTTATTTACTTCTGTTGGTATTAAAACCCCGAAATCCGATACGTGTGACAATTTTTTTACGCTGTTAAATTTAGCTACATTTTAATTAATTTTAAAGCTTTTTAATGCTATATATGACATATATGATATAATTATATAATCATCTTTTCAATGTCTGAATCATAAACTGTCATTGCGGTCTTTGTTCATTACCCTGTAAATGAGCGCGGCTTTCAGTACTTCTGAGTACTTTGATTTTTATTGATGTTGATGCAACCATCTTGGTCCTTTTTTTGGCATGGTAATTATTTAACTGTATACTTGTAGACTTTTACTAAGAATATGTTATTGTATGTGGTGCACAGTTTTAAGTATTGTAAACTTTTTTGTTGTTTATTTATTTTAGAGCTGCAAGGACTTCTTAGAGAAACTCCATTCTTTGATGACTGATGGAAAAGCCTCATCACCCCCCACTGCTTAAGAACCCCTTATCTTAATCACCAGCCATTAATCAGTGATCACTGTTATCAAAGCTCCAAGGTACATTATTGAATTCTCTTTTTAAACCATTTTTTCCAGTCTCTGACTTTGTTTTAGAATTAAGATTTTCACTTTTTTGCTAATTAATTCCTTAAAAGTCAGTTAACTTCCTGTTTCTTTGATAATTTGAGCTCATTAATTAGAGTTGAAATTATTTTTTAGCATATATTTCCAAAAACTACAATATTTCAGCTTTCAATTCATTCAATTTTTTTTCTCAATAATTCACTCATTAAATTTTTTCAAGTTTTGAAATTAATATGCCAAAGATGAATTTTTACAGAAATTTAGCCTAAAATTCAATAATCTGTTAGGATACGCAAGGAAATAGCCAATCAAAATGAACTTAGTCAATTGAAGTTCAATATATATATAGAGAATTTTTTTTTTCTTTTTTCATTTTTGGCAATTTGTTTTAGGCCTACAGTATTAAAATTGGACTCATGTACTAGGAATATCATTTCTTTAGCAGAATTATCCCACTGAATTAAAAGGCACTCTTTTTTCAGGTGCGCATGATGCAACTTCCTGGATGGTGTGTAGGCTGTTTGTCAACATGTGAATCCCACGTGCATTTCGGGGTAGGTATGTTTACTGTCGATTTTATTTATTAAAAGCCGCAAAAGGCATATTTTTTATGATCTCAAATTTTTTTTTAAGCATTAATATTTTTTTTATCTTTAATGAATTTTTTGCTGAGAGTCTAATAAAAAATAATTTAATTCAAGCTTTATAGTAATATTAGGTTGAAATTATTTCCTTAATGTGAGGGTAAAAAGTCTGTCCTCTGTCATTCTTATGTAGAAAACAAATGAAAATTTCGGATGTTTTTTGTTAAAATACTTTTTTTGTGGTTCTAAAAACAATAAATAATTTAAAAAATTTTTTATTTCAATTGGCAAAGAAATATTTTGATTAGGTTTGTTTTTTTTCCCTTTATGTATATTCAAGTGTTATTAATTTTTAACAGTTTATAAAAATCCCATTCTATCATTAATACTGAAAAAGTTCTTATTGTAACTTTAGAAGAAAATTGATAGGTATAATTAATCTTGGGATTAATTATTTCCTCCGGAAAATTTAGTAGGCTTTTCTTAATCTGTCACAGCGAGATTAATGAAAACCTTTTCCTTAATTAAGTATTTTTGCCAATATATCAATATTAAACAAAATATGTATTGCAATACAATATTTTTTATCATTGTATTGTAATATATTGAAAATATAAATTGATATTATTGCCCAGCCCTACTCATTTTGACTACAATTTATCTGATTTCAGGACAGTCTCTCCTGTTCAAGATCAATAATGGCTGATAAACAATGTAGCAGTCTGGTATATAACAGAGAGTTTACACCCGTCATCATTTCTACCAATCACCTCTGTAACCTTTGTTGTGTTAAATATCACACAGGAAGAAAAATAAGATTTTTAAGGTATATATAAAAATTTTTAATTATACATACTCTCTCATATAAGAATAATGTTATAATTTAACACATATATACAGAATTTACATAAAAACATTTATAAATGTTGACTCAGTTATGAAAATATTCATTGCATAAAATAAACATGCCCATTAGTTGTAATTATACACCATGTGTAGACAATTCACAAAAATACAGGAATTTTATATAAAATATACATTTGATCGTTTTTCATCAGAATAGTTTTTTTTTTTTAAAATTTTTCTTTAAGGTAAAAGTACGCAGTTAACTCTAAAAATTAAATTTACTTTGAAAATTGGTTACAAAATAAGTTCTTAATTCAAATAACTTCATGAAAATTATAGGCAATGCAGAAAATATTGATTACACTTGAAAAAAATTAGGAGAAATTAATAAAGCAGTCAGATTAATGAAAGCGACCTTCCCTAGTTTTGATTAGTATTTTTCTATCAAAAATATATGCCTATTTAAGATGTAATGAATTTTTGAAATTCTTAATTCCTTAATTAGTATATTGCCAATATATCAATATTACAAAATCGTATTGCAATACAATATTTTTTATCATTGTATTGTACTATATTGAAATATTCATATTATTGCCCAGCCCTACTCATTTTGACTACAATTTATCTGATTTCAGGAGGAGTCTCTCCTGTTAAAGATCAATAATGGCTGATAAACAATGTAGCAGTCTGGTCATCAACAGAGAGTTAACACCCGTATACCCTCATTTCTACCAATCACCTCTGTAATCTTTGTTGTGTTTATCACACAGGTAAGAAAAATAAGATTTTTTAAAAAAAGTATATAACATTTTTACGGGTATAGACTCTCTCATATAAGAAAATGTCACATTTTACACATACGATAATACATTATTTACATGTCCACATTTTTCCATTTATACAGTTGAAAATATTCAGTGCATAATAAAACATAGCATTACTTATTACATGTTAGACAATTCACAAAATGTATTTTATATACAATTTTCATACATTTGACATACAAATCATCAAGTCACCCCCATCCCCCCTCTTCACAGTTTTACAACTTAAATTCCTTTTAAAATTTGGATCTGTTAATAATTTACTTTAAGTGTCTAAAAATTTTATCTCCATAGGTGAAATCTCTGTAGTATTTTCTTAAGATTTATTTTTTAACAGTTTCTGTTTCAATTTAAAGTAATTTTGTCTATTTTGTTGTTGTTTTAGATGATGGACCACTCTACTTCCTTTTACAACAGGTGCCCCTACAGATTCACAAAGTTCCAGTGTTGAGTTTCCATGACCCCTATTCAGTGAGTGCACAACTTTATGTATTCTAATTTCAAAATTTCTACTACTTGTAATACATTTTGGATTTGATTTAAAATATTCCCTATTTACAGATTCAGATTTTTGTGTAAAAGTATGATATATTAAGATTACTTTGTCTTAAAGTCAAATTTTTACAGTCTTTTAAGAAATATTTGTCTTTTCCTGTCATTAGGGCCCCGCTCGGTGGGCGCCCTATAGTAATCAGTCTGTCCGTCAGTCCGTCCGAGATCTCTTGTCCGGAGCATATCTTCTCTCCCCTTGGCCCAATCTGGCTCATACTTCACCCACAAAGTGCCCTTGGGTAACTGGTGTGCAGTGACCTTGAACCATGTTTCTAGGTCAAAGGTCAAGGTCATATGAAAATTGTGTGAAAACTTGTCCAAGCAAATTACTTCTTCCTTCTCTGAGAGCATATTCTCTCTCTCCTTGGCCCAATCTGGCTCATACTTCACCCACAAAGTGCTTTTGGGTAACCGGTGTGCAGTGACCTTGAACCATGTTTCTAGGTCAAAAAGGTCATAGCAGAATTTGTGAAAAATCCTTGTTTGGAGCATATCTTCTCTCTCCTTGGCCCAATCTGGCTCATTTTTCACCCACAAAGTGCCCATTGGTAGTGGATGTGTAGTGACCTTGAACCATGTTTTAGGTCAAAGTTTCAAGGTCATAGTCAGAATTGTGTGAAAATGTTTAAAATCTTTGCTTGGTGCATAATTTTTTCACCTTTTAATACCAGTAAATTTATATAACAAGTTTCTACAAAGGATAACTTATATCTGAAAAATTGGAGCATTTTCTCTCTCCTTGGCCCAATCTTTCACTTTCACTCACAAATGTTCCTTTTCAAATATATACCTTTTAAACTTAAAGCAATATGAGCCCATGTATCTTTGAGAATTTTTTTTTTATGATGTGCTATAATGTCAATTTGTATGTAATTTAAACTTTTATGATCAATGACAAAATAAAGTTTAAAAATGTTTCAGAAAAATATTTTGTCAATATACAGTTTTATATAAGAAATCATTATTGTACATGTGCAATAATTCAATTCAATCAAAGCTAATGATCAAAAAAAAAATCCATTGCAAATATGAGCAACAGAAGTTTATAAATAAATTATCTTTTAGTTGATTACAAATTTTAAATAAAATTTTCAAATGTCAAACATGCAGCTCATATTGCTTTAATCTTACATTTCTTTTGAGATGGTCACCATCTCAATGATATCTAGTTTTAATTCAAAGTCATTAGGAAACACTGAAGATTTCCACATATTGCTTTTCAGTCCATGACAGGAAAAGGAATAATGTTGACAGGAATTTCCGCACTGTCCCTGGTAGCAGGTTATGATGGAACAGCAGTAGACAGAGCATGCTTCATTAAAGGTAAGTTCCCAGGGTGGTGTTTGTAGGAATTCTTGTATTCAGTCCTGCATCATTGTTCATGGCAAATTTTCTCTTCATGAATTTTCTTATGGTCTTGGTTCTTCCTGGAAAGATATGACTGCTGAATGGGGCCTTAGCAGTCTTGAATGGGGTTTTTAGCTCACCTGAGCTGAAAGCTCAAGGAAGCTTATCTAATAATATTTTCTGTAGTCTGTAGTCCCTCTGTCCGTCTGTCTGTCTGTAAACTTTTTAGCTCACCTTAGCCAAAGGCTCAAGTGAGCTTTTCTGATCACATTTTGTCCGTCGTCCGTCAGTCTGTCTGTCCATTCGTCTGTCTGTCCGTAAACTTTTCACATTTTCAACTTCTTCTCAAGAACCAATGAATCAAATTTAATCAAACTTGGTACAAAGCATCCTTGGGTAAAAGGGAGTTTAAATTGTTAAAATTGTTAAAATAAAGGTCCAAGTCTCCTTACAAGGGTAGATAATCAAGAAAGAACAAAAATAGGTAGGGGTCATTAAAAAATCTTCTCAAGAACCACTGGGCCAGGAAAGCTGAAACTTATGTGGAAGCATCCTTGGGTACTGTAGATATTAAATTGTTTAAATCATGACCCAGGGGGTAGGGCAGGGCCACAATAGGGAAATATTAGTTTTACATAGAAATAGATAGAACAAATCTTTAGAAAATCTTCTTCACAAGAACGAGCTGAAACTTGGAAAATCTTTATTAATTTTTTTTCTCAAGATCCATTGAAACAGGAAAGATGAAATTCATGTGAAATTAACCTCAGGTAGTGTAGATTCAAGTTTGTACAAATTGTGACCCCTGAGAGGTAGGGTGGGGCCAAAATGGCAAATCAAATTTTTACATAGGAATATATAGGGAAACCTTTTAAAATCTTCTTTTCAAGTACTTCCTCATGTAGTGTTGATTCTAGTTTGTCCAAATCATGACTCCGGGATTAAAATTTTTGATTCTTCCCCCCCCCCCCCCCCAACCTCGGTAAACTTTCAGTTCTGATCTGATATGTGCTTTTTCCTAGCCGTTCACCGGTCTCACAGGCAAAACTGTTAAATATTTTAAAAGTCCAGTAATTTTCTTCATGTAAAAAATATGACTTCTCTGGAATTTTAGTTAATTTGCGAGATTGTCAAAAGGATTGAATCTGTGTCTGTGATAGAATAAACTGAAGGATTTTTAAAACAGTTAATTTTTCATAAAATGGCAGTGCCATGACCTAATATATTCCGTAGAAGAAAATCATTTTCCATTCAAATTACTCCTGGGTGATTTTTTTCTTTTATTATCTGTGAATTTCAATTTTGCTGATTCAATTATAATTTTAAAAAAAGTTAATTATTAAGAATTTAAGCAATAATTATAATCATTTACATGAAATATAAAGACATTTTCATTTTAATATCAAAAATTTTTATAGTTGGTTTAAAGAAATTTGTGTTAAAGATAGAGCCAATTAAAGTGTATTTATAAAATTTAGCTCCCTATTTTTAAATATTTTAAGAGAGGAAGTTATTTCATGGAAAAATGACCAGTGAATTTTTATTTTTAAACTTTAAAAAATTTTCAAAATAAAGTTTCCATACAAATTTTGACCTGTGATTTTCTAAAAAATGAAATTGCAAAATTTGAAAATGTGCTTTTTAAACAGCAAATTGCAATACATAAAAAGTTTATAAATAAATATCTTTTTTGATTACAAATGTTTTTCAAATGTCAAACATTCAAATGACGTTTAAACATGTGCATTTTTCCGTCATTTTTTAAAAAGTTGCAGAGGACAATTTTCTTAACACATTAATTTCTGATCATTGTCCACAGGCATTGCCCACGGAAGCTGTGCTGCCACTTTCAGCTGTGGGTTTTAGTGAGTATGTGATTTGTTAAATTTTGCACAAAATCTTAACTTTGTTACAGCTTTGACACTGTTATTCTAAAGGACAAATTACCATTAAAAATGTGCCATTTTGAGGCTTTTTCAGTTGATAAAAATTTTTTTGGCAAATGCTTCTTCAGAATTCTTAATGATACAATTTATTTGCAGAATTTAAATTTAAATGCCAATTCTTAAGATTTTCAATCATTTATTTAACTAATTAAAAGTTTCAAAACATTTTGATGTCAAATAAATTTTTACCTATCACAATAAAGAAAAAACCATACCTTAAACTTCTTTGGACTCACCTTAAAATGCTCAAGTAAAATTATCCCACAAAATTTTTGAAATTGTCTGTAAAAATTTTCAACTTCTTCTCAAGAACCAATAAATCAAATTTTCATGCTATACAAAAGCATCCTTGGGTAATGGGCGTCGGCGTTAAAGTTTAAACTTCCTTACAAGGGGAGATAATCAAGAAAGAACAAAAATAGGTAGGGGTCATTAAAAAATCTTCTCAAGAACCACTGGGCCAGGAAAGCTGAAACTTATGTGGAAGCATCCTTGGGTAGTGTAGATATTAAATTGTTAAAATCATGACCCAGGGGGTAGGGCGGGGCCACAATAGGGAATCTTAGTTTTACATAGAAATATATAGAACAAATCTTTAAAAAATCTTCTTAAGAACGAGCTGAAACTTGGAAAATCTTTATTAATTTTTTTCTCAAGAACCATTGAAACAGGAAAGATGAAATTCATGTGAAATTATCCTCAGGTAGTGTAGATTCAAGTTTGTACAAATTGTGACCCCTGAGAGGTAGGGTGGGGCCAAAATGGCAAATCAAATTTTTACATAGGAATATATGGGGAAACCTTTTAAAATCTTCTTTTCAAGTACTTCCTCATGTAGTGTTGATTCTAGTTTGTCCAAATCATGACTCCCTACAGGGATTAAAATTCAAGCCCCCCTTCCCTCCCCCCCCCCCCCCCCACCTCGGTAAACTTTCAGTTCTGATCTGATATGTGCTTTTTCCTAGCCGTTCACCGGTCTCACAGGCAAAACTGTTAAATATTTTAAAAGTCCAGTAATTTTCTTCATGTAAAAAATATGACTTCTCTGGAATTTTAGTTAATTTGCGAGATTGTCAAAAGGATTGAATCTGTGTCTGTGATAGAATAAACTGAAGGACTTTTAAAACAGTTAATTTTTCATAAAATGGCAGTGCCATGACCTAATATATTCCGTAGAAGAAAATCATTTTCCATTCAAATTACTCCTGGGTGATTTTTTTCTTTTATGGATATCTGTGTTATTTCAGTCAGCTGATTCAATTATAATTTTAAAAAGAAAGTTAATTATTGCTCTATTTGGGATGCAATATATGTCAACCTAATAATCATTTACCTTAAATATAAAGAGTAATAATAATTTATTGTTACATTAAACATTTTCCCCACAACATTTAGAACTTTGTTTTCTACTGTAGACAGCCATGTTGGGTATCCACTGTAAATATCTTACCTGGTTAACTCAGTCTTTATGTTTGACCCCATTAATTTTTTAAGGCCCAACTGGAATTAAAACAATTTTCAGGTTTTTTAATATCTGTATGCTGATGATCCAGTGAATATTTGTATGGACGGGTGAATTTCACCAAATCACTGGTCCACTTGACCAGTGAATTTTTATTTATTTCA